TTCTTCTTTAATTACAGGAAAGTCAGTGCCACTCAGTTGTAAAAAATTCTTTTGGTCTAGATACGGAAGTCCTTATTCATCCCTTCTCACTTAATAAGGTCCAGCTACACAGTTCTGATCATGTATCCTCACAGCCAAGATAGAGAACATGGAACAATAAAAGCTATCGTCTGGTTCTTCTTAGCAAAGTGGCATGGTGGTCTGCCCTCTTAGTGCTCCATCAACAGGTCATCTGCATGCGAGGCCCCTGTGAGCTTCTATTCTAGACCTGAGCAGTTGAAACCCAGCTTACAACAGAAATAAACAAAGAAGCTGCATTTTTTTTTTGTTTTCCTAAAACTTTTTTTTTTGGTGATACCTCCGATCTTTGGGGCCAACAGAAACTATGTAAAGAAGGCAAAGGAGACTCAGTGTCCTTCCCGATAACCTTTCTTAAATTGCACCAAGTCCTTGTTAATTATAACCTAGAGTCCAAGTCTCTTAATGTTAGAACAGATTATTTACTTTACCCAAATACTTTCATTTTATATACAAGAACATTTCAGTCCAGGAAACTTCAGTGCCTGCCAAAGTCATAAGGCTAATGAATAACGGGTCTGGGGGGCCAGTTTTCTGAGCACTCCATTTCAGATGAAAGAAGTTGGAATTAATAATTATAGCCTAGCTCTGGGAAGGTCATTTCAATCAATAACAATAAAAGTTCATTGCAAAGTTTCACTTAACCTCTGTTCAAGATAGTATATGTTAACAGGAAAAAGAATGCTACTTGTTTAGTCAGACATGGCTTTAATAACTACGCACTGGCAGCTCGTTTTACAAAGGCTATAACTCTGGAATCGCCCAAAGGATATCCAATTTTTTTTCTAATTGATTTATTTTCTCCTTTTCCCCAGACTGCTGAGGTAAAGCATATACAGTTTATTTAAGGGTCTGTTTATAGACTCTTAAAACTAAAAAGGACCCCAAGAACACTCTTTCTTTGAGTTGATCTTAATGGAAACCATCCAAAATGGTTGGTTGTCCATCAATTGCTTCACTGTGTCCAAAGAAAGAAACACACCAGCCCCTCAACAGCATGTTTAAATCGGTTAATCACCAAGTCTGTCAAAAAACATATCTCTGGCGAGCTGAGCTTCTATTTCACTTGAAGCTCTTCTCTTCTAGTTCGTTTTTATACAAAATGAGGCTCTGACAAGCCACCCACCACAAGAGTGCCACCATTCTGGTCAGGTCATACTCTTCCCTAACGTGCTTTCACATCCATCTGCCAACGTCGGGCTCCCAGGATTAGGAGTACAAGTCTGGCTGATAGGCTCTGTTACTATGATGTATGGGGAAGAATGCGTAATCAGCTCTTCATTGGAACTTCCATTTCATCACATGTCTGGGGAAGCTCCATTAATTATTGATGAACCGGTCCACTTACGCGGGGGAGATGTCCACACACAGTCTAGAAGCATGCTCCCTACTGTGCTCACAGGGACATATGAGATCACTCACAACACTGGATCAATGCATAGAAAATAAGCAGACAGAATCTTGTCCTCGGGATGGCCCTGTGTCTAATAGGGTTAAAAAGTCTCTTCGTTCAATAGTCTGGGGGCATAAAAACGACCCAGTGACACAAGTCATTTTTTTTGAAATGTTTCTGAATTTCAAACTAAGCATACACTGCCTTCTATGATTTAAAAAAAATCATGTTTACTTCCAAATTGTACTCAAAGTAGATGAACGAAAAGACACAGCCCAGTGAAACTTGAAAATAACAGTAATAATAATAATTTTTTTTAAAGAATTAGTTGGTGTGAGCTAGAGGTAGGAAAGACTGGCCTGGAAAAGAAGCCCAAAGGCTCTAAATGCTTATAGTTGACTTCGCCACACACAATCAACCCCAGGGGATGAAAAGGAAATGCAGTAAAATTTGTGGACAACAGCTCATGCCTGTAAGAATAATTGGCTCAAACACAAAACAGACCATAGGTGATCAAATGCTGCCTCTAAGTCATTGACAGTGTACATTGTATTCGGTTAAATAAAGGAAAAACAGTTTTATCCAATAACTGGGTATATCTGAGGTGAGAATTGTTCCAAGTAGTGAATAAAACCGAACTCTTGATGGCTTTTAGGATCAAAATCATGTAACAAACACATTTAATTTCCTGGGATTCTTTTAGATTTCATTCCATTAAATCCACCAATCAATGGTGGACAGGCATTCTGCTAGACAGTGGAATTAAAAGTGAATCAATACAGTCTTGGAATTACCCTCTGGGCTCTTCACTGCAAGGTCAGCAGCTCTAATCCACCAGCCACTCCTTGGGAGAAGATGATGCTGTCATCTCTTGTAAAGATTTCCAGCTTGGAAAACCTGGGGAGAAGGTCTACTCTGTCCTACAGGGTTGCTATGAGTCAGAATCACCTCAGTGGCAGTGGCTTAGACATCAAGGTTTAGACACCATTTCAAGAGGAGAACCAGGTAAAGGCAGGTGATTCAGAAAATCAGCTGAGAAATAATCAGGAAAAGCATAAGATACTATAATCTATTATCCAGTGGTTATTTTCCTCTTATGACACTTGCTAACTACTTCTTTGCAAGCTTTGACCTTGTAACTTGACTGTGAGTTCCCTGATGCTCAGCGCAATCTCTCCGGGCTTCTGATCTATGCCTAGCACCATACCTTACACACCATGGATGTTTGGTAACCCCAAATCCACTGGTATCACATTGATTCCAACTCATTCTGCTCATGTAGGACAGGGTTCGAACTGGTTCCAAGAATATAAATCCTTATCAGAACAGATTGCTATAACTTTTTTCTGTTGAGTGGCTGTTAGGTCGAAACCATTGGCCTTGGGTTATTAGCAGCTAAGCACCTTAATCCCTGTGGTACCAGTGCTCCTGAAATGTGTTAGAGTTGTTTTGAATTAAAGAATTCACGGGTGATATCTTCTCTTAGAACAAAAAAAAATACTTTTGTTCATGAGGATCTATGTCAGGCAAGTGATTTACATAAGTCACAGGGCTTTATTAGGCAGGTCATATGAAACATGCACTTCATGACAATGCGGATAAAAATAACAACACTTAATTCTCTAGGATTTGTAAAATCACTTTCCATTCAAAACTACACACAGAACATCAAGAGTTGTCTTATATAACTTTACCCTCCTTTTTCTTAAGGCAGAATTTTATTTTAATTTTGAAAAATTGATCATTGCTTTAACCATAAAAGTACAATTTCCATGCCTTGAAATTATTTTCTATCATAGTCATTCAAAAGTTTTCAGTGTCTATGTGAATATACGTGTCATTCAGTTACTTAGGACCAAATCAGTCTTTCCATTCTCATTTTATAGAATCTAATGTAGACACCACAGGTGTAGAAGGACCCAGTTTCCACGCACCATCATGTAACTCTGGAGCATGCCAGGTTCAACATCCTAACAATACTTGTCAGATTGGCAATTACCTAGTGAACTGGATCAAAGGAAATTGCACAAATGGATTTATCAAAGCAGAAAAAAAAGTTCTTTTGGCCATGAGAACATAATTTTAACCTGTGCATTAGTAGTAGTAGCAGCCAATCATAGAATAAGTAGGAGTCATTGTTGGTTGATGTTGATGTTGCATCGTTGCCTTCCACAAGTTATTTAAGAGGGAAATCATGTCTGCTATCCTCAAAGCGCCCACCCGATGAACTCCTTCATTGGCACTTTGATAGAGAACTGGATAAAACTGCTTCCCTACCAGAAGCATGAGTCGGTTCACTTAAGCAAGGCATTGGCTAGAAGCCAATTCAAATGGTAGAAAGGGCTTCCTATTCCGTGCTACTAGTCAATAGGCAATAAAGGCTATTTTGTTGCCAATGAAAGGTGAATACGAATCATTCGTTTCCCACCAGCCATTTCCTTCTCATCTTCCCTACACACACGCACGCACGCACGCACGCACGCACGCATGTACGCGCCGCGACCTCTGGAAGAAGCTGAGAGATACTTGGACTGAGTGAGTTATCACAGGAACTATTCAAAGCCTAGTGGGTGACTGAGGTAACCTTTTAGAATGATTTACCCTCACTAAGGACTATTAGTTTCCTGCAGCCTAAAATCCCTACAAAGGACACAGAATGAGCATCTGGCTTTCAATTGTTCGCCGCCCTTTAATATACAACGAGACAGGTGCACTGGAGGTGGACTCTTTAGGCGATCAGTTCCCTTAAGCAACACTGACATTTGCTTGCCTTTGTTATTTGCAGGCATTGCCATGGCATTTGATTTTTACTATGTACTTCATAATCACCTGAGACCAGCTCATAGGTAAGTGGTATTGTGCTGGTTAAACACCCCTGCATTCTAGATCCAAGTATCCCTGGAGAAGCCCAGAGAAGAGCTATGGCTAAGGAGAGCAACAACAAACAAACAAACAACCCAAGGTCTATTTGCATAGAGGGAAACCTAATACAGAGCACATTTCAAGAGAGTCTGAGTATTTGCAAATATGCATAGGCTGCCAATCCACCTTCTTCTGGCCATTCTTGGTGGTTTAATATCTCATAGGGACACCTAAGAAGTGCCCGTAGCTCTTTTTTCCAAGTCCGCGGGGCTGGAGAGTCTTAATATGGGATCCCCAAGCATGCACTTCCCATAGGCCTAGATGCTTCTATAAGTTTACAGGTGCACCCATGGCTCTGGAAAACTGACAGCTCAGCACCCCAGGGCTCATTGGCCCTGTCCTTTCATGGAAAAGGAGCAGTATAGCAAGGGTAGAGCTCACTTATGGAAGGAAACTTTCTAGGAAGGAGTTCAAAGCCCAAATTGTGAAGGAGGAAAATCCCACCCCCAATCTGCGGTCATGCCAACGCCCCTACAGGGGAGGAAGCTCTGGGACGAGGAAGTCTGCCAGCCCCTGGCAGTCATTCAGTGACCCTCCCTGCTGTTGTAAACCCACCGAGCCATCCACTTCGCACTTCAAGGGTGCAGTGAGAGGGAGAGCTACTTACTGAAATAAAAGCCCCTGTCTCCGCACACGAACTGAAGAGCGTCCACCAGCTCCGCCCCGCAGAGCGTCTCCGGCCCCGCGGCCGCCGCTGAACTGGTGACCAGGAGGAAGCACAGCGCCAGGTAGAAGAGGTGGGCCGCGGACACGGCGTGCATCTTCACCTGGGGAGAAATAAGAGGAGGTCAGGCGTCCTCCTGGTCCTCACAAGACGTGTAGGGGGTGGGACACGGCTACATTGCCCATTCCCCCCCAATGCTGATGCAGGGGACCCCATGTGAAACTAACTGCCCAGTAGGGTCTTCTTGGCCGCAGTCTTGAAGGACACAGATTTCCAGGCCTTTCTTTCGCAGTGAGTATCAACCGTGGACCTTCCGGTTAGTTACTCAGGGGAAACACGTGTCCCCCTCCCCACCCCCCAGGGTGTAATTTCCCCTCTATTACTTAACTGTCGTTCATCAGAACTCCCCAAACTGAAGCTCAACGAATTACCAGAGAAGCGCTGGGCATTACTGGCGAAGGACTGGCATCAAAACAAAAACAAAAACAAAAATCCTGTGTGGGAGTTCCCTGGCTACTGTCGAATTTTGGAGAAGCCTGCCCCGAAACGCAGCTGCCTATTGGGCGGATGGAGTTACTAGAACGTCCCTTATGGGCTCCGGTTACAACGAAATGAGTTAAGATACCCCGAAGTGTTTTTTATGTCAACAACGCGTGCTGACATTCCCATTTGGAGCCCAGAGCACTCTGAGAGGCTGGGGGCGCTTTCAGAGCCAACCAGCCTTCAACTGCGTTTGGGCCAAAATATGCTTTGTTAACTTAAATTCTTGACTGGCTGTCCACAGATGGTATGTGATCCCTTGTTGACCCAAAGCCACCACCTTGAAGTCCATTAGACTCACTGAGACCACTAGTGGAACAGCTACACAGGTTTCCAGGGCTGTGAATCTTTCTGGAGGTCGACCACCACTTTCTCCCGTGGAGCCGGTGGTGGGTTTGAACCTCTGACCTTCCGTTAGTAGTGGCATTCTTTAATTCCCGTGTTACTAGGCCTCCTTCGATTGTTGACCGGACTATTAAATCATAGCCCAGCTACTGATTAAAGAGAATGCACTGTGACCAAAGGGGGGAGGGGATTTGAGACAATATTATCAATCTTTATAGTTTCTTTTCTACCACAGAGACAGAAAGAGGGAGGGAGAGATAGAGAGGAGGAAAGAGAGAAGAGAATTGAAGATCGAGAGATTGAAATATCCCTGGGGATTATCTGCAGTGAACCCAATCACAGTGGAAGGCGAAACAGACCCAGAAACAGGAAGACGATGGGGAATTAGGAGGGGTACGGAGACATGCAAGGAGCTAGTTACTCCCTCTGCCGTCTAAAGCCTTCTGTGTAAAATCTACTATCAAAGGCGCACATAGGTAACAAGTGCATGCCGGGCTTAGGTACTGAGCTCAAAACCTGCGTAACCTTTTTTTTTTTTTTTGGGTGGTGGGTTCATAGAAATTCTAACTTCATCCCTTAGAGGCATATCCATGTTATAGCATGGTACACCGAGGGCCCCAGGGGTCTGATGGAGCCCATGATTGGCAGCCAGATGCAGGATTCCTGCAACTCAAGTCAGTCCCGTAGAAAGCACACCCCAGCGATCACGAAGTTTTTCCATATGGCAACTTGTGGCACGAAGATGTGGCTTCTTCCAGGAAGTCATCTCAGGTACGTAGCCTTGCCTCTTGGATATGGCCACCTTCAGGGAATTTGAAAGAGCCACTGAAAGAGGGCTAGTAGGTAAGAGACCCTATTATGGTCATGGGGCCAGGCTGGAAGCCGCAGTTCTTGCTGGAAGGTAAGAAGCAGACCCGGAACTTTATTTTCTGGTCACCTGCCTTGCGCTCCAAATTCTCAAGCTGATGGCGCTACACTAGTGGCCCTGTTTTTGAAGCGTTCCGCTTTCACAGCCAGCAACTGGGAGAAACAACAGCAACAGAAACCCCAGGAAATCCACACCCCTGACAGTAATTCATACGGAATATTTAGTCAATGGTCACAAAACAGTTGAAGAGGAAAAAACTAAAACTCACTGCCGTCCTCTCTAGTCCAAGTTATAGCGCCCCAAGAGGACAGAGTAGAAATGACTTTCTAAGGCTATAATCCTTAAGGAAGTAGCTGGTAGCTTTGAACTGCTGACCTTGAGGTTAGCCGCCCGACTTGTAATAAGGGCTCCTGCAGATGAAAAGCACTATTTGCAAATTACCATGAATAATAGACACAAGATCAAAGAGAAGGTGGGAATGCCACTGAACACGTTTTCCAGTTTCTTAATAGGCATTGAATACCCCTACCTTGCCAAGCTACTGGGTCTGCTAGAAACAAGTTATCAGCCAGCCCTCATTTTTCTTAGTTGTAAAAGAAGTAGTGGTTTTGCACCCCCCATTCATTATTTCGATGGAAAATAATGGGCTTTATTGCCCTTCTCAAAAGAACTTGATCTTTTAGGACATATCCCCCTGAACCCCAAATTCTGGCAAGGTGCCAGTTCTAAAATGTATGCTATTTTGCCAATCCTGTGTCTTGACCTTTTCTGTAGAGTCTATGCTCATGCCGAATATCAAGCACCTGCCGTCCTACAAGCCTTCAAGTTCTTGAGTTCTTATGAAATCCAGGTGGAATACAATTCACTCAACTCAGAGCTTCCATGCATTGAGAAACCCTTTGGATATCAAACCTATATATTACATAGTCCTAGCATAACACATTTAGACCCAGCAATACATATAACATCTCTAACATTGAAAGAACGTTTTACCCCACAACCTTTTCTTTTTTCTCTTTCTTTCTGAATTATATTTTATAATTTCTATAGTTTGAGGAGAGACAAGCACCCCCCACCCTCCACCCCCACCCCATGTATTTTCCTTTAATACCACGGACAGTGCAGTACACCTATAGAGGAACAGAGGGTTTATCATATTAGGTTCTCCAAGGGCAAAGCAATCATGAACTTGTTCAGGAGCTAGAAGTTTGAAAACAGCCCCATATCTTCAGCAGCTCCTGGCCCTTGTGTTTTGAACACACACACACACACACACACACACACAGAGAGAGAGAGAGAGAGAGAGAGAGAGAGAGAGAGAGAGAGAGAGAAAACACAGCAGAGAGAAGAACAGGCAAACATTCCAGAAAGACTCTTTCTCAACCATTATTCATAAATCCCAATGTTAAAAGAACTTTCTTTTTATCTTCAACAAAGGGACTATCAATTGACCTCAGCTGTCTGGGGTACAGTGGACATCACCCAGAAAAAGTTGAGGGGGAGAGTCATAAGAAAATACTCACAGTAGGTGGACCCAATTTAGCTTGTTCCAGGTCTTTTACAGCAGGTCAGGGTGGGTCTTATGAGACTGATGTGAATAGAAAAGTGAGGACTTAAAAAACGTGTGCTGCCCGTGGGTGTGGTTTGTGAAAGCATCTAGTTACACTTGGACACCCGGGCAGGTATGCTATGAGCCTGGGGAGGCTGCCTATTGTCCATTTAAACAATGAATAAATCACACAGCTGGGATTTCAGTCACTATGCTCCCCCACGCCCACCCCACCCCTATTATGCCACTGATTCCCATGTGCGTCTATTAGGACTGCCCAGATAGAGATCCAAGCTCTAGCCTTCGGTCTTGACCTCCTCCCTTGGACTCCCCTGCTCTGCCCACCGAGGAAATACCTGGAGACTCTGAGTACAAGCAGCCTGTGAGTTCTGCCGCCTCTAGGCAAGGCATCTTGACTCATTGAAATTACATTGGAAAGACCAAGCTCCTCCAAACCACTTCCTGCTTCAAGCACGGGGAGAAGTCACAAATTGATTGCTAGCCCCGCTTCTGCAAAGTTCAGCGTGCCCTGAATGAAATGCTCACTTGAACTTGTGATGAATGCCGAGCGTCCTCTCCACCACCTCTAATGATCATCTAACTGGGAAGACAAATCCCCCAGCTGCCAGGCAAGATAGGTTATCTGTGTATTGACTTCATTTCACGCAAAGCAAGGTGACAAAAGTGTCTTTTAATCTCAAGGACAGCAGGCTCAGGTGCCTGACAAGGGAGTATCCTCAACTCCCAAGCCACTTAACTTGACCAAGCAACATCCTAGCGGTGGAGTATTTGAAAGCGAGAGATGAATACGGCATTAAGTGGCAGGGACGTTTTATGAATTGTGCCCGCAGGCAATTGCAACAGCGGAGCCAGTGACAGCTGCTTAAAAGTGCTTGCAAATTGAAAAAACACCTATCTTGAAGGATATAATTTTGCTGAGAATGGAAACTTGAACGAGGGCCAGTGATTGGAAACCCGAAGTCGGTGCACTGACAGCGGCAGCCAAACTTTACCTACAGTCTTTTACAACCCAGAGCATAAAATCAGGGTTTTACAACACACACAATCCCAAGGCAAAACTCTGCCCTCAAAAAGCCTTCTTCAAAAGAGTCAAGTTGGATAGGCAGCCACCCGACAGAAAGTTTCCGCTCCCCATCTACCCGTAGGCATTTGTTTACTGCATACAAATATGCCAGGTCAGCAAGAGTTCCCCAGGAGTTCTTTTTCTTTAAGGAAAAGCACGTTAAACTTCACTCTAACTTTTGACTCTCCGGGCAAAAGTGCACGCAAGTCGGTGACTTCAGCTCCAAAAATCACATGGAAAGGGTTTAATGTCCTCTCAAATGTAACTCTTCACAGCTGGCAAACCTTGTAAATAAAGTCTTGATAAGTCACACACACACACACACACACACACACACACACACACACACACACACACACACACACACACACACACGAATTAAAAAAATAAAACATTTGCACCTGCAAAAAAAAAAAATCCAAAAGTTCTCATCCATGCTCTATAGCCTTTAATCATAGACAGGATTTACAAGAATTTTTTATAACGCCACCACCACAGCCCTGGCAGAAGTGGAGGGGTTAGCCTAAGTACCTCGCACTAGTTTCTACTCATACAGATATCTGTACAAACGCATCCATCTCCCGGAGCTATTTTGTCACATTCCCCCTAGAACTGCACATTCAGCAATTTATAAATAACGCTCAGTTCAGAAACAATGAAAATTCTAAAGTGCACAACACCTCTAAGCAGCAGCAAACAATTGCAATAAAATCCCCCCAATGACTTCAAAAGTAAGAAATATTTACCTTCCAGAAATCACAAAAGCAGCACTTAAATAATTGGGTTGGAAGACTGCTGATTTTTCCCATTGCTTCTGAAGTGCAAAGTCTGGAAATGAATTGGTTAGCAGAAATAATGAGGCAAAAAGAATTAAAAAAAAAGAAAAGAAAAGAAAAAAAAGAAATCCAGAGAGATGGGAGATGTTGAGAGCAATGTCACATTTCAATTTTGAGGACTTTATTCCATTGCGCAGGCGCTATCTGCTCTGAATGTAGCAGTGACAGTGAGATTTAGCAAACAGAAGAGGGATTTAGAGAAAATCCTCACATTTATCTACAAAACACAGACACTGTAGACAGGAAACAGCTGGGGGAACATTTGCCTTCTCTCTCTCTCCCTCTTCTGGCAAAGTTATCGAGTAAGGACTTTTTTGGGCATGGTGACAAATAACATCATACCTTTGCATTTTAAAACTAGAGCACAGAAGCATTTTTCCCCCTTAAAAGAATGTGTGTTGGGGACAGGGTTTGCAGACATTAAAATACACATTCTGCCATAGAAAAGAAGGATCTGTCCTCTGATTCACTTTCTACCGGGTATGAAGGTATACACATCTGTAGACACCTCCCGGGTGTCGACGAACTAAACGCGGTATGGGGAGGGGTGTGGGGGACGCAAGCAATTCTACCTTAGAGGCCAAGTGAAAAATTTATGAAGAAATGATCACCTTAAGGAAGCCTTACAATTTTAACCCTGAAGGCACCAGGGTACTCCACATTGGAAGATAGAGCCGAGGTGAACCCTTGTCCCAGCTGCCAAGTCAGGAGGATGATCTCATTTCTCAGATCCTACAACCCGGGCAGGCAGCGTCGCAATTGGCTCCCTTTAGAATATTGTCTCATGTTTTTGCCCGCGACCAGGCAAAGACTTTGCTGAGCTGGAAAACCAACTTAAAAAAACCCCAAAAAACAATCTTTCTCATCCTTCTTTTAGTGGCTGGCTGTCATCTCCCAGGGCAGGGGCAACTCAGGGGCAAACTATTACCCTGCTGTTCGTCTTTTTCAGCATAACTTGAATGTGTGTGTGCGAGCGCGTCCTTGCTCCACTTTTTGTGTATTCTAAATAACCACCAGCTGGCTAGCAATACCCTCTCAAGGGTTATGATGTCATCCAAATCCCTCGACTGGGTGAGTGGCCTGAAGCAGGGTCCAAGCCAGCTGTCTTGCTATTTATAATGTATACTTGCCTTTGCCACCGAGAATCACCTCCCAATCTGTACCAATTTTGCTTTAGTTGTGTGAGGTAGCAGATAAGAACGTGGATTAGGAAATAAGGTTACAACAGCCCAGATCTGACAGAACACTTTCCCTGGAGCTCTCTCTAGGCGTGATTCCCAGAGAGGGTGGGGATAACCCAAGGCTTGCATTTCTGTCTCCCGAGGCCCAGGGGGACCCGGGAACCTGCAGAAGAGAGGTCTTCTGGCATCCTGAGTGGGGCCAGAAATATGTTTGCAGCGGTGGGCACCCTGGAAGAAAAACCTGCATTTGGTTTTGAAAAGGGGGTTGGATTAGGCAATGGTTCTCAACCTTCCTCATGCTGAGACCCCTTTACACAGTTCCTCACGTGGTGGTGACCCCCCCAATCACAAAATTATTTTCATTGCTACTTCATAACTGTAATTTTGTGACTGTTATGAATCGGGTGACCCCGGTGAAAGGGTTTTTCGACCCCCAAAGGGGTCACGACCCACAGGTTGAGAACCGCTGGATTAGGGCAAGTTTTCTGAGTAATGTATAACATTGTAGCAATGTTTGCTTTCCTGAAATAAAACAAACAAACAAACAAACAAACACAAAATAGAAGGAATCTGGGATTATGCTATGCATTCACTGTCTCCAGTACCTACTATGTGCCCAATGACACACATGCCTAAAGAAACCAGGAGGACTGAGGGACAGTAAAAACTCCAAGGGACCTCTCAGCTGAGCAGCAGAGGCAGAAAGGACAAGGTCACTGTCATGTGCTCTTTTAAAAATATGAACATTGCACGGGGCGGCAGTGGCTGATGAGGAAGTGAAACCCTTTTGTAAATCCAGCACAGGGGAGCGGTCAGTCATGTCCTGAGGGGCTCTGCCGCAGACGGTTGGCAAGTTTCAGTGGGGTGTGATTTGGCCAGTAGAATATACAACCAGGCACCACCGAGAGGGGGCCCCCCTGGGCAACTGTGGATTGTGTGTGTGTGTGTGTGTGTGTGTAATACCTGTACAAAGAGCAAGTTGAGGCTTCCTTTCACAAGCTTTCCTCATTCACGAGACTTATGACTTGATTTAGCAACAAGGATGTTCATTATCTGGAACCAAAGAGCGGCTCACCTAGGTGCAGGCAGAGGCCAGGCTTCGCTCCACCTTCCTCCCCAAGGCCGTTTTAGCCTATCTTAATCCTCCCCGAGATCCTCCGTTGACTTCCTCACCTTGAGTCTGTAATCCAGGCGGATACCCTGGCCATCCCTGTGAAGGGGCTCCCTTGTCCCCAACCATTCCCGGGAAAGGCTGCTTCAGAAGGCAGAGCACATGCCTTCCCATCAGACCCTGTAATCCTGTGATAGAGAGGGCAAGGGCTTGGGTTTTGTGACCCTAATTACCCTGACATGGTAATTGGGTTTTAATTTATGTCCCTCATTCCTATGTTACCATCAGAGCTGAAATGTCAGGGAGCCATAATTGTCACCAGCGGTGCTGTGGAGACATTCGGTGTGAGTTATCGGTTTCTAATAGGGAAGGCAATTTCCTGAGGTGTTGACTGTGAGCGTCAATTTGTAGGATAGTTCTCTCTCTGAGTAGGGTGAGCCAGCCACAGAGCAGGGCCATGCTCCCGAGAGAGGCCTTTTTCTTGGCCAATTCCCAGGGTCCGCAGGAAGACAAAGGGCAGTAAACATCCCAGGTGCTTTCCTCTTGGGGGGCTCAGTTCTGTACCTGTTCAGGAGAAGAAGAAGCGAATGCATCTGCTAACGAACGAGGGATTCCAGGGGAGGTAGCTGACTGCATCCCTAAGGAAAGTTCAGGTTGTGAAGTTCCATTTATGAGAAGCCTGCAGGGTCATTCTAAAACCACCGGCTGACTGGCTCTGTAGTCTCCTGGCTGGGAAAAGCTGACAGTTAGGTATGAGGATGTATTCCACAAAAATAGCGAACTGCTAGGAGGCGCTCATCAGGAGCACCTCCACTCCTGGAAATTCAGAGATTCACAGTTTCACCTCTTGCATGTGTAATGCCTGTCCTATAAATAACTCTCCCCTAAAGCCTTCTTCTTGAGTAGTGTATTTGCATAAAGCCTCAACCTCAGAAGACTTCAGACACCTCTCTCTCTCTAAAAAAAAAAAGAAATAAAAGAAGTTGCTTCCTTCCTGCAAGGGCAGGTTGACTTGGAGGTGCACTGAAAGGGGTGCAGCAGGCCCAGCACCCCTTCTTTTTGCTCCCAGCCACCTTCATTCCCCATCTTTGCAGTGCGCACCTCAGAGGGCATTTCAGCCTGTGTGTGGGAAGGCTGATTCAACATTTAGCCCGGAGAGGGTATTTTAAGGTAAAAGGGGTTTTAGAATCAGACCGGAGTGAGATTGTGGGACCTGGGGCCAATCACCAGACAAAGAATTTCGGGATGCTGTTGGATATTTCTCTTGGATCATTGTTTGTAGGGAGGATGGGTCTCAGGGCATCTCCAGGAAAGCTCTGGACCTCTTTGTGCGAAATGCCACCGAGGGGGAGGACTACCAGTGCACGGCCATCAAGTCCATACCCACCCTTGGAAGGCACGGCAGAACTGCCCCTAAGTTGTCAAGAGACTGTGACTCTTCTCTGTCTTTGTCGCGTTGTGCTGCCCGTTAGCTCCTTAGACAGGTCTGCTTTCCCTAGAAGTCACTGCTCAAGCTCACCCACGGCTAGAGAAAACAGTCACAGGAAGGAGAAAGGCCTTTACTAAAGGAACCCCTGTTTGTTTCCACATCAAACTTGGAGCTTCTCTTCTCTAACCTATCAAAAGGGCAACGGCTACAGAGAGAAAGCAATTGTTGAGGTTTTATGAGCAAAAGCCTCCTTCGTCACGGCAGATAAGGAATCATGGCAGATGGTCTGGAGGATTGACAGAGCCTCAGGGCTTACCACCCTTGCCCTACATTGGGGAGAAAGTAGGGAAAGGAGACACCAATTCCAAACTTCAGGGGCAGCGCCCACAAACACGCTTTCTGGGAGAATAGAAAAATGTGCTCGCCCTCTAGTGGGCATCTGGGAAACTGCCACGGCTGTCTCAAAGGGTGACTTGTGGCCTCGAGGAGGGTTGGGGGTGTTTTGAAAAGCTCTGAACGTAAATATATACTTCAAGTTACACTTGTCTTTAGCTTTATTCAGCATTTTGAAGTCAATGAACTAGGCACTTTATTTGCTGTAGTTTAAAACGGAGGAAAATGCTAAGGAAGGAACGATAAGACGGCAAGTTCCACGAGGACTAGGCTCTCTTGCTCATTGCCGTATCCCCAATGCCCAAGTCCTGGTAAAAGTTCAAACATTTTGTGAACGAACGAAAGTCTGGGAAATAAATGACAACGATGAAATGATTCGTCTAAGAAGAGTCTAGGCTCTCCCACTGTGACGAGACCAAGGGCGTTGTTGAACAGACTAGAAAGGTGAGACCAGCTGGTAGAGAAATGACTTGTTCAGCGAAACAAGTTGGAACCAAAAAGCCAAACTCATTCCCCCTGAGTTGAAATCCGCTCATAGAGACCCTATAGCACAGAGCAGAGCTGCCCCACAGGGCGGCCCCGGCTGCAAATCTTCATGGAAACAGCCAGCCACATCTTTCTCCTGCAGAGCGGCTGGCCCGTGGTGCTAATCGCCAACCTCCCTGTTAGCTGCAGTTTGCTTCACCACTGCACCATCTTCGAAGCAAATTAAGTGTGAACTAGCCCAAAGGCAGGGCACCGAAGAATCACACGGCTCCGTGGTGATTCCATTTTCTCTCCCTCCAATTCTCTTCCTCGCCTGCTCAACTTACCAAGGAGAAAGGCTCAATTCCAAACGAGCTTGTCTTCAGTGCCTCTTGGTCACTTGCTACAACCACCCCTTTTAAGAAAAAGAAAGTCGCCCCCCAGCTCCAATCCTTACTTCCAACCATTTCTGTCCAGAACGTAATACTACACCTTCTCCTCACTTATTGACTCTCTCATAAGCCAACATTTAGCCTGTATGACAATGGTAGAAACTCAGTGAGTCGGCTGCCTATGCATCAGCGCCACGTGTCTGGCAGTCATGAACTCTGAGTTCCAGGGGAGAGCAGCACTGGCTG